AAGGCAATTTTATAAAAAAAGTTAATCACACCAATATTTGAAAATTCCATGCCTTTGCAAAGTATATGGCGACCATAATAAAGATTAATAAGATTAAGTTAGTCCCATTCATTTATTTACAGTCTCGTTAACAAATTAAATAAATTTGTTTGTTAGAAAACACTCATTATTGAAAGTTATCCGTTACAGCTTCTCAAGTTTTTAGACAGAAAGCTATTTCTTAAAAAAAATCTTCAATAAAATCACTCAACTTCTTTTCATCCATTTGCATGCGCAAGAAACAACGGATACTTGAAAAAAAAGGTATAGTTAGTTCTGTGAAAATGAAAAACGCCCATCTAAGTTCTATGAAAATTAAAAGAAAAAAAGCTCATCTGTGCTTGGATTACTGAAGTCGGTATTAAATGATCAAACGGAACTACCACACATACGTTGTAAAAGCGGCAGTCATCAGGCAAATTATTATGTTTATTAATTTGTACTTCGAAGATATTTCGTAAGACATGTTAATCTTTTCTTTTGCATATTAAAAGCTCAAATACTTCAATTATCGGTTTAGTTTAAGTGTTTTGAATCAGTTGCACATCGTTTATGCAAACAATAAAACACATTGGCAAAGAAATAAACACCAAAACTGGATTACCTACAAATGCAACAAGAGCCGTCTTGCCACAACTGCAACAAGTATCAGGCCAACAAAAAAGCACATAGACCCTCGTTAAGCAGTGTCACCAACCCAAAGACCTTAACGTTTTTGCCAAACAGCTGAATACAAAGGCGAATGCCAAGCTTTAATTTACAATTGTATTGTCTTATATCATCTGCCAATTCGAGGGGATTTTCAAAATTGTTTTATTAACTGTGATTTTTAATAATAATTAATAAGCGGGCCTGAAATCCACCTCAATTTAGAAGCATCTGAGAGTAATTAAATGAGCTAGTCTGAAATCCACTTGTTACAATATTTTTGCTTTAAAGATTCCACCTCAGTGGTCAATTTAATGTTACGCTCTCTGGTTTAATGTAGTATTTCAGCTACACTCGATTTGCTATTCACACTTGTTGTCATTCCGGTGCCATAGCACGTATATTAACCAATGCACTCCTTTTGTAACGAGCACTATAAAATGCAGGAAAAGCATATATTTCGAGACAATATTAAACTTTACAAGGATAAGTCAGGCCGGTCTAATATTATGAAGCATCCACATTTACTTTTTATTTCCTGTTTTATTTTTTTTGAGGCAAAAGTCGATGTGAAAGGTCCGGGCAGCGCGGAATGTGATTTCCCTGCTTGTTTTCATATATTATCATTTCCTTTGTTTCGAAAAGTTTTTCTTTACTACGCCTACAAAATATGTAATGTTTTAGTAAACCATTCAAACTCGGAAAAAGTGGTATTAAAATTGCTCCAGCTTTTTTCCCTCTTATTTTCTTTTTTTGAGCCTAGCCGACGTATTATGATATGTTTCTTGTTGTGTGCGTTGTTTGTTGTTTACATTGCAAACTGACCTCAATAAGTTTGCTTTCATTCATTTGGTTAAATAAGTTGATGCTATTAATATGTAAGCATTGCTTCCAAGCAAAAAAAAACGAACTAACGAAAGAGCGAACGAACATGTGAACGCCTATAGAATTTATATATAGATGGATGGATGGCAATAAAAGAAAATTTCACGATCGAGTATATGTACGGTTGAGTGATATAAAATTTTCAATGGAAATATGCATAATTTGGACCAGGTTCACGCCTGCATGCACGTTTTTAAACACAACTTGTCGAGCATATTTAAAGATTTTGAGTGTCTTCCTTTTAACACAACAAGAAAGACAGTGGGAATTGAAACAGTCAGAAAAATTGTATAAAAAACGTGACATATAAAACTTGTTTTACAATTTGCGTCACCAAAAGCAAATTGAACATGTGTTTGTATAAAAATTCTGCAATTTAGAGAGTAAGCGTATAAAAATTCGGTACTTTAGAGAGTAAGCGTATAAAAATTCGGTACTTTAGAGAGTAAGTGTATAAAAATTCGGTGCTTTAGAGAGTAAGCGTATAAAAATTCGGAAATGAAGAAATTCAAAGTAGTGTGCAAACGGTCGCTGACTGGTTGAGATGAGATTGGCGCATTACTTCGGTTGCAGCGTCAACAAAATCACAAAACTAGCGGCAACAAACAGAATGGGCACCAGGAATTGAAAATTTCTCCCTCATACCGTAGCTCATAAACAGAAAGTTCCACACAAGTTTAGGATTTATTTAAATAACTTGTGCCAAGCTAAAAATCGGGTCATTTTCGCAATGATAAACACGACGTTGTTGGCCCCATAATAGAAATAAAGATGCAAGTGTGCAATATAAAAACTTTTACGTTATTTTACTACCGGAAACAACTTTTACTGAAAGTTTAATTAGATTTTTTCAGTTTCTTTTCTTTTTTTTTTGATACCTGATTTTGTAGATTGATTATAAGTGAAATAGTAATTTCTCATAAATTAATACAAAAGTAAAAATTGAATTAATCTGTCAATTCACATTATGATGTCACGACAATTTCTTTTTATATTCGAAGCTTTTTTATATCTATTCACTTTCACATTTTTATTCAAAAACTCATACCAGGCACTGAGGAAAGTGGTCATTATTGACAACAACAACAATAACTTTCAACTCGCACAATTTCACCTCGATTATTTGCTTCTATTATCCCCCATGATAAGTTGATGCATTCGAGGCGGTTGGTTTGGAAATATTGTCTCAAGATCGAACCACTAACGATTGAAATTTTGCTCGTATTCATATCGAGGATACAAATTCAAATTTTATTCAAAAAAAGGATTGTAGTTTAGGGCACAAAACACAGAAGTATCAAAAATTTTTAAGAGATTTTATTTATTTAAATCTTTTTTTTAACTTATTAAGCGCACTAGCAAGCACACGACGCAAATATATAACAGCAATAAATAAATCAACAGAGTTACAAGGGCTCGTAGCAAAAAATTCATAAAACGCACTCAGCCAAACTACAAACAGAAGAATAAGATGAATTCGGAGCGAAGCATGGCAAAGACGTTTGCTTATGAGTAAGTGCATAAATTACAAAGGTAGTTTGTATGTTTGCATATTTATCACTGTATGTTTTCGTTTCTTTCAATATTGTCACTTTCAGGCGCGTGGGTTGCCATTTTCGCTGGCAAGACTACCAGAGGAATTGGCCAAACTACTCCGTCGCAAGGCTGCATATCGCGATAAAGATTTGGCTTATGAACGAAATTATTAAAAGTGAAATAAAACTTGAATAAGAAAAAAATTAGCGAAAATTGTTTAAAATTTTGTAAATATGTAAAATTTAGTAGACATGTAATAAAATTGAAAAGTAAATAATATTTTTTTGAGATTTATATGATAATCAAGGAAGTAAGTCATAGGACCGACGACTATCATTGTTCGTTCTTCTTTATCAGTACGGAAAGTGCCCCACACTGTGACCACAAGTATCCACTGCGAATTTTAGGCTCGTCACCAAAAATACCACATTTGAATGCTGGTATTCGTATGGAACCCCTAATATCTGTGCCCAAGCCGAACGCTGTACAACATGAAGATATCAAAGCAGGCTCCCCTCCAGACGAGCCTCCAGCAGATCTTTTCAGGTCGTAAGGATTGTTTGTTTGACCTATAAGGTTATTCCTGTTCTCGCACCGCATATTAATTTCAGGAATATTTGAGGTGGGAAAAGAACGTGATAATATGTCGGCAACATCCTCGATATAGTACATATCCGAAATGAACTAAGCAGCGAACTCTATATGCTTTTTTTAAAAGGTTCAGAGCTGGCCAACTAGATCGTGTGATTTAACACCACTGAATTTCTTTTTACAAGCGAATAAGCACCTGTGCAATGAAGGCGGAGATTCGACGCCGCATCAACAAAATTCAGTTACATATATGCACAATGGTAATGAAAAATCTCGATGAACGAGTGTGCATGTGCCAGCAAAACCGCAGAGGAAATTTGCCTGATGTGCTATTCCACAGACGAACCTATCCCATGCGTATTATGACTTTTTTTTTGAATTGCAAAAAATTGCAATTCAAAAAAAATAAAAAAGTTATATTCGACTAACTACTCTCTCTCTGTTCTCCTAGTGCTTTTGTGATACTCAAATTGTAACTCAATTGTAACGAAAAAATTAATCCACCGCGTCGTAACGCCCACCATAACTTTGACAAAATAAGTATACTACCCACCCTTCAGTGGCGCATATAGAGAAAAAAACTTTCTATTTAATTCTATTGAATAATTATACGTACCAAGTCTCTCGCGTCTAGCTTGCGTCGGTTTTTATATGTTTTATAAATTTTACTGTATTACGTATACTACGTTTGTTCTGTTAGTTATAAAATCAGGTCATACGCAGCAGCATCATAAATAACCTTAAAGAAAACATAGCCTCAGATACTAATGCTTTAATAGTTTAGTCTTTGAATTAAATTAATTATCATTATAATAAGAAACAAAATTTAATTTTTTTTTAAATTAAAAAATAAGGAAAAAAATATGAGTATTACAGTAAAATTCGAACCGTTAATGAAGGAAAAGTTTGACATCTGGATAATTCAGGTAATTCAGCTTTAACGATAAATAAGACGTGGAATTACGTCTCTTATGATAACGATGAAATACAATAATTTATAATTTAGTCCCCCAAACTAAAACAAGTAAACAAAATAAGTATGCGAAAAACCACATTCCACGTACCAAGAGGACCAACTGGCATTGGCAAGTGTGGGCATATTCAGAAATTTTCTAAAATAATAGACAAACTAAGCAAATTATAACTGGGGTAATCTTGTAAGCGGGCAATTGCCGCCTATTTTGGAGTTTTGTCGATTAAAGCCAAAGGGCTAAACATGTACCATTGTCGTTAACTTTCCAATTTTCTATAGCGGAGAGGCACAAAAAATGAGACGAAATTGACGTTTGTTCCTTTTGTATCAACAAACCACATGCGTTAAACAATGACAAGCATGCAAAATAAACTGAAAATAAAGTTACGTAGAATTTGTGTCAGGCCATAAAATAATAAATGAATTTGAATATTGATATGATCATAATCGATTTACAAGACGTTTTTATTTAATTGCTGCGGGTTATTAAAGAAGATCCAGAAAAATCATTCCTAAATCAAAATAGGAAGTAATACTTTCAACAATTATTTAACTTTTAAAAATTCTTTATATTTATCAGTTTGTTATAATATTTATAAGTTCTGTGCCAACAATCCTCTCACTTCCTCACCCAACCGGTTCAATTAAGTGCCTCCCTACAAACATAACTACTATCACCTTCGTAGATCGCCTACAGTATTCAAACCATGTTCTTTCATTTTGTAGTGGTCGCAAGAGTTCAGCAGCGCTGCACGAACGTTCACGACTCTTCCCAGCTTCTTTCGGCAGCGACCAAAAGAAATGTTCAAAAATTGTAGTTAGCTGTTGAAAACACTAAATACTGTAATAACAACTTTCATACACATCAATAGAATTCGCTGTTTTTTTTAGACGATCCACCGAGCTTCGACATCGAAGATGTAAGACGAGCTCATATAGCAAGACGAAAAAATTGTCGCACATTGTAGTATAGTTGCAATCGATGCCAATGCTACTTTTGTATTATTTTCGCAACAAATTCTGCAATTTTTAAGCATCATTATTATAGTGTAATTTTTTGTTTTTTTTTTGAACATTTGATTCGTCTTTATGGCTTTAGATATAAGTTACAACGATTTTGACGAACTTGAACGATTTCGCACGCAACTCAATACACAGAAGCAAGTTAAAAAATGTGTACATTTTTTCTTAAGGTAATGAATGTTTAGGAGTTGCCTTAATGCAGATATAATTTCTGCACATTCTATTGTTATTGAATGCGGGAATATAATTCAGCGTTTTTCTAGGAGAGAGAACAGATAATAACCTCGGGTGTTGAATAAAATTGTGACTTTTAAATGGTCCAAGATCTATTTTCAATTTCAAACCAGACTTCCTTTGCTTTTGTTACCAACAAAAGCAGTAATGCTGTTTATTAACAGCCATTTGGCTGCTTGCTTTTTCGCTTTCATTATTTATAAGGGGAAAGATTCTGTTAATAGTTTCTTGATATTTCGTGGAATTCTTTCAATTGTGATACCAAGGTGTAGATTCTCCTGTATGTAATCGGAAAGGACCAGTTGTCCGCTTCGCAATTAATTTATATTCTGCGTAAGAGATAGTAATAACGACTAGTTTTCGACGGCATATTGGGAAAAGTAAGCCCTATTATTGCTTTATAATACTTCTCTACTTTTACTAAAAAATTGCCACAACCTTTGGATTTTGCTAATTCCACTATTTTTTTTTTTTGTGTACCACTTGTTGCAATGTACTTTAAGTTCGAATTTTGTTACTTTAGAGAACGCATGGAGAAATTTGAATTCGCTGTTGTCGAAGGAAATGTGACAGTCTTAAACCAAAACCATACTCCGCAAATCGCCTAAAAACCCACGATATAAACTGTTGTTAATTGAGAATCTGTCCTTGAACCGGACTCGACGTTGATTGTATTTCATAATATGGCATTTAAGCATTATTTTCGAATTCGGTTAGATAAATTCGCTCCTCATTTCCCATTTAAAAATATTGTAAATTATTTATAGTTTTTTTATATTGTTATTCCTCAATTTTGTAAAATTTTTATAATTATATCTAATATTGCGGTGGACTGGATCGAGATATGATTTCAAGTCACTCTTTTATTTTTAGTATATTATTTCTAAGCATTTAAGTATTCCCGATTCTTATCACTGCACTAGTTTGCGACATTTTAAGGGCAACTAAAAGATTCTACGTTGTCTCCTGGTCTGTATTGTTTTGTAAGTTAAGACGAGTTTCTTGCACTTGTGTTGGATCCCAATTACGCATTTTACGTAGCTTTAGACGTTCATCAAATTGGAATTGCAAACGATCGAATAAAGTATACAATGAAAAGTTTATTTCGGGCATGCCGGCCAACGATAACATACAATTAATTCGCACCCGTTCTTCTGCGATGGAGTTCATGAGGTCTTTCGTTTCAGAGCAATTTAAAAAATCTTCGCAAGCATTGTCAATTACGTCTAATGCTGACGGTGGTTTCGCTGCTAAAATTTTCGGGGTTGTTTTAAATACTTTTGAACCTCGTGAAGCTGAATTCTGAGCAGATGATGAATATCCGACGAGATTCGTTTCCCCATTTTCTACAGCGATGGTCTCAAATTGGATTTCCGTATTAGGCTTTGTTTGCAAAATGCTCTTACGTGGCCGTCTTCTGGTTGACACCTGCCCTTCTTGCAAATCAGCTGCTGAATATTGCAACAATGTATTACTTGCTTTGCTGCAGCTAGAATTTATTTGAACATCTTCATCATCAGAGTCTAAAATTATAACTTTGCTCATTATCTCTTTGTTAATTTATCTTAAGTTACAACTAGATGTCTAGCACCAAAATCAATACCTTTACACGCTGAGCGAACGTTAGAAAATGCAAGTAATAACACCATATGTTAGTGGTAAAAACAGAGATGTTAAACTATGCACTGCAGTCGAATGAGAACAACACGTGACCGCCACAAGCACGTGAAATTAAATTTTGCATCAGTATCGATACTATGGACATATAAGTCACAAATCTATTGGCTTAGTCCATCTCTGCTCAACATACCAAAAAAAAAAAGTATCGATACTATGCGTTAGTGCAATAAGATCGGCTTCAATTAATAAATGTGGTTTCTTTCTTTTATTTCCTTATCAGAAAGTAAAAAAGCATAAATTTAGAACTTATAACTGTTCTGTCTTGGATTTAAATCTCAAGTGCTGTTGAGTTTTCAATAAAACCGATACCCTTAGATGCTGGTGCTTAAAATTGATTTCTCTGGCTATATTAATAATGATATAACTCAGGAACGCTTGTTTTGAATCGAAGCTTAGTCTTCTTGACTATTGGCCACTGAATCCTTTACGAAGTGTAAAAGGGCACCAAACGAAACTTTTAATTCATTTTCTTATGTATTAATATTTGTTTGCATTAAATTCTCTATAATTGTTAACATTAATTAAAGGCACGATTATTTTAAATCGACCGAAAGCACTAAACGTCATTAATCTGGATGTGGTGCCGAAAATTTACAAACATTTGAAAAAATGTGAGAAAACCAAATCTTTAATGATCATCAAAGGAACCGGGGCTTTGGCTTTCTGTACGGGTGGTGATGTGAGAACAATTGTCGAATTCGGGCCGACGGAACAATCGAAAACATTTTTTCATGAAGAATATACGACAAACCTTCACTAATTTCTCACCAAGATTGGATAAGTGGTCTTCGTTGAAAATTTTCAACATTTCAAAAATTGTGTTGGGACACCGGGATTGGTTTTCCTATATATATGGAGCAAACCATTAGCTTGTATAACATTTCCTCTGCCGCACTCGTTTATTAAAGTATCTGCTATGGTAAATAAATGTTTCGTTATTATTCCTTTGATATCTTCGAAAGACTTTTCCACAGTCTCTTTTCAGAAGTTCAATTCTCGCTGTTGGTTTCATATTTGCGTTGGTAAATTCTTCAATATTGATTGAATTTGTTGTTCTTTTAGTTGCAAAGACAAACTTCACTGACTATTTGTTTTTGACTAATTCTGCGTAATTGAGTTTGTGAGTCTCGATTTTTCTCTTTAACAGAAGTGCGTGCAAACTTTCTCTCACTTCTCTAACACATTTCTCACATTTTACCATAATCGGAGCCTTGCAATTTTTTGAAAACAACTCTCTCTCCATTCTCAACATATGGTATTTTTTATTATATCGATGTGAAGGAAAAAACCAGCTAACAAGTAGCTCACAAAATTGTAAGTAACTAAAAATTAAGATTGGGAAGATAGTATTTCAAATTAATTGAAGTCCTGTTTAAGTCTTCTTGAATAACACTCACTCTAATATTTTGAATTTAAGGTATTTTGCTGAGGTGAACTTTTGCTATTTTTTTATGGTCATATAGCCTATACAACGCATTACCTTCTTAGATGTTCGCTTAGTTCGCTTTAAATGTGATGTCATGTTTTTAGCTATTGCAGGATTTACAGCCTTAAATATATATGTTTGAAATAAAAATTTGTTAACACCATTCCGATTTTGGAAGAGACGGACCTCAAAATCAATTCCTGATGTCTTTATTGATAAGTTTAGTACACTGCATTTTCTTACCGCGGATAGTAAATGAATATTTGTTCATTTTGTTCAACTCTTACCTACGCTATCAAAATCCACATTGATATTAATGACACCAATAGTTAGCAAAATTGTTTCTATTCATGTGAAAAGATAATCTGCAGAAATTATAAACTAAACTATTATTATAACTTATTTAGAGCAAAGAATAAATATTTTATTGATATCAAGATCTTCAGGTAATTTCAAGATGCCCACAGGGTTAGATGCCCCGAAAAGTAATCTTCGAATATTACGTTGGCATTCAAAAAGGATATGTTTGGCCGTAAGATTTTGTTCACAATCGTAGACCAGGATAGTAGACCTCTTAAGGATCCATTCATGTGTTGCAATAGTATGCCCATGCCGGATTTTTGCAAATGTTTCGATATTTCTACATTTGACTCTAATTTCACAATTCTCATATTTTAAGTTGAAATGATGATGGAAGGCTAATGCACTTTCAATAATACCTCTGTTGTTTGTTTCTTTTTCTATTAAATATTTCTTGAAAGCTTCATTTATATCATTTATTGTAAATAATTTATAAGCACCATGTCTTGCTGGTCTATTATTTGTTCACGGTAATATTGTTTTTGTTGCTGTTGTTCTTGTTGCGTTATCGGTGTTTCAATATGTGTGTGTGATGATGGTTTTAAATGCAATCTTATTGAAATTTGATTTCTTATTAAATAATGGTCTTATTACACGTTGATATTTAAATGCTTTTGTACTTTTAATTTGCGCGCCTGATTGATAATGACGCTTGTATACATTTGTATTTATTAGAATACCTTTATATTTTATCAAATCTCTTTTTGTATAATGTTGAGGCTTTGAGTGAAACATGAGCAGAAACAGACCTGGCGTCATAGCCCAGTTAATATTTCCTATATTGATAGTATTATCTCTATTAAATTTTAATTTATTATTTCCATATCGCCAATTTACCCTTACATCTACATTAACACCATAAATTTTATCTAACTTTTCATTATTAATAAGTGTTTGTATAACACTATATAGTGGGGATTTCTTTAAATTAATGTTAGCATCATTGCTATTATTTATATTTTTATTTCGTTTTTTATCAGTATTCAATTGTGATTTACACTTTCGTTTTTGATTGAAAGATATTATTATTATTATTATTAATTTCGCCAGAGAAATAAATTCTAAGACTAAACTCTTAAAAGCACTAGCATCTAAGGCTATCGGCTTTTTATTAAAAATTCTACGGCACTTGAGATTTGAACCCGCGACCATTGAGTTGCTAGTCGAGACTCTTGCCTACTCGGCCACTCAGGCGGATGATTGAAAGATATGTGCGATGTTTTCAACCGCTCCGGATTATTATCATCAAAACCATCTAGTGGCGTAGAATTCTTTCGTTTTAAAATCTTTTTTTGTTCACTTGTAATTGGTGTTGGTGTTGTTGTTGTTGTAGCTTTCCTTCTTATATGTACAACGTACTGCGTTTTATCGTTTAAATCCGTTACTAATTTGATACATTTGGCATAACAATATCTCGAATTTTTAAATTTAATTGTATTGCAGTTACAACCCATTAAAAGCTTCGATGTACCCGAACCACTAAAACAGACGTATATTACTGAGGGTTGCCAAAATGTTGGAGAATATGTTCCCCAGCCTTACAGAAGAATTACAAATAAGTAACTACGTGAATCGCTTTAAAACACTCTTACATTTAGAGCAGATGGAGTGTTAATCTCCGCATTTATGACCGAGATCGAGCGCATTTTACACGCGAGGGCAGGTATTTAGCTCTGACCATAGAAAATCTTTCCGAACGTTTTCCTTCATTGGTAATTGGAGACAGGGTTAAAACCGAAAACCCCTGGGCCGACGGCGAAAATGCCGAACGGAACTATATAGGAGTGATTCACGAAGTGCTTCGCAATCGAATTCTACTTAGATTCGATGACAACTTTCAATGAAGATATAACGACCAAGATTATCGTTTAGAATTTTACCTCTCTCGGTATGGCTACCGAAAGAAGTACCACGCCGTCTCACGAGCGGCTGAAAAATTAGGCGAACAGTTCTTGTTTCCCACCCTAACGCAGTCGCGCGAACGTCCACAATTGGATATAAAATTAAATAATGAGAAAAAACTCTTGTTAGGCAATCGCCAGTATGGATGATACAATTGCATACTGAACTCTATGCAGAAAACAGCCGTAGCAAATATACTACGAGGAGTTTACAACATGCCATACGTGATTGTCGGATCCCTCGGCGCAGGAAAAACTGCAACGCTAGTGGAGACCATTTTGCAAATTTTTAAATTGATACCCGGTGCACGTCTGCTTGTAGGCACACCCTCCAATAGTTCTGCTGATGTAATAACGACACGTTTGATCGAATCCGCTGTAATCAAAATTTATACGTCTAGTGTCCCATAATCATGTTAAAGAAGAACTTATACCAGAGCATTTGATACCGTAGTGCGCAGCAGGGGATAAAACATGATATGATTGTGACTAAGTACGAACTCAAAGTAAAATGTGAAACGAAGTTTTTAGGGCACCATTGGTATTTGCGCTACCCTAGGAAATTTTTTGCAAATGGGCTTTCGATCCAATCATTTTACGCATGTGTTAATTGATGAAGCCGGCCAGTGCAAAGAAACTGACATTATGGTTGCTGTTGCTCAAGTATCAAAAGAGCATGGCCAGGTAATCCTAGTTGGAGATCCCCATCAATTCCATGCGTTATAAACATATATGCTCGTGAACGCGATCTTTCGCTATCATTTTTGGAGAGAATACTTTCGCGTGCTCCATTCTTAACAAATGTTGATAGTTCCCCTTTTATGTGGTTTTGACCCTCGCCTGATCACAAAAGTACTCTACAATTACCGGACGTTGCCCTCCATACTGAATGTTTATAATGAACTGTTTTCCAATGCCGAACTGGTACCAATGATAGGAAAAGAGAATGCTAGGGAAGCTAACATGCTAAAGCAACTTGACGATATACTGCCGCAATCACCAAATGTAGTCACACGTAGTCAAAATATGCAGGAAGAAGACTCGCCGTCGTGGTGTAATCCTTACGAAGCGAAGCACGTAAGTTGTCTTTAGTTTAAAAGCACAATCCCTTCTATTTAGTATTTCATAACATTTATTTCTTTTTTGAAGGTTTTCCTAATGACAGCCAATTTGGCTGTAAGGATATTAAACCGGAATCCATTGGCATCGTAACACCGTTCATAGGGCAAGTTAAGCTTTTGCGTAAACTTTTTGTTCAGGCCGAAGTAGGAATGCCTTAAATTGGTTCTGTGGAGAAATTCCAAGGAAAGGTATAACC